ACCGCCAGGGAAGGATGGTAAGCCATTGCCTTTGGTTCCAGGATAGAGAACGGAGGGATGTGAGAGGAAGGCAACTGACATGTTTGGTCTTCCGTGTAGGTATCAATCATGGGATTGAACAAGATGGCAGAGTGGCGGTTTTTACGATTAAGAAGGTCAAGTGACGATTGACGATTGATCCGCGGACTATGCTTGATCTGGAGAGTGCGTTTAGTTCAGTACATATTTGGATTTCTGGATTTGTTTTTAGAGGAGTAGCTTGTTGTGCCATTAGCAAATATCGCAATGTGTTCTCAGTATGTGTCGATACCTTTTTGTGCAAAATCATCCTTTCTTCCACTTTGCAATCAATATCTGTAAAACGAAATTGATTATTCTTTCATTGCCTTGTCACAGCGTCAGGTTCAGATGAGAATATACAAATGTAAGAACAAGTTGTTCTATGTGGGCTAATTCAGAATGCTGGAGCATCAGTCGATCTCAAAGGAAGCCAGAGAGCTCATTTCGTGTTATCTTTCGTGTCTTTAGTGTTACTGTCACCTCCTTGACGCAGTGTCGACTTTCGGGAGTAGTATTGATCCAGGATTTTGGCGGGTATACGCTGTCCAGATGAACCCAAGTCAGCCATGTTTAGAGGAATAGGCAGAAGAGAGAGGATCGAGTGGAAGCAATAGAATCGGATACAGACATTCAATTGTTCTCTTGGGAAAATCCTAAGGAGGGACCAGGCGATGTCTAGCGAGTTGAAGATGTCGCGATTCTCGTTAGGACCCTGGTTGACGAAGGTGTTCTCGAACCTGTCATCGATTGACCAAAGTTCAATATTCTCTGTGGAAAATGGAGGGGGATACGAGGAACGCACTTATCCAAGAACTCAAGAGCGAGCTTCTCCTCGCTCGAAAGTGCCTCTTCACCGACGACGGCCTTCATGCTGGACGCGTCTTTCCCGATGGCGTACTTAGCATAGAGCTGATTGGAAACATCGCCATGGTCGTTCCTCGTCAGTTTCTCACCCACGGCGGACTTCATAAGCCTAGACAAAGATGGGAGGACGTTGATGGGAGGGTAGATCTGTTTCTGATGCAGTTGTCTGTCGACGAAGATCTGTCCTTCGGTGATATAACCCGTCAAATCCGGAATAGGATGCGTCATGTCGTCGTTGGGCATGGTCAGGATGGGGATTTGGGTGATGGACCCATTCCGCCCTTCCACTCGACCGGCACGCTCATAGATCGTTGATAAATCAGTGTACATGTATCCTGGATATCCTCGTCGTCCAGGCACTTCCTCTCGCGCAGCTGAGACCTACCCAGTGTATGCATACTTAGAATGGAAAATAGCGCAAATTTGTGTCAGAGTGGAGGACAAACCTCTCGTAAAGCGTCGGCATAAGAAGACATATCGGTGAGAATGACAAGAACATGCTTCTCCAGTTGATAAGCGTAATATTCAGCCGTAGTGAGAGCAAGACGAGGGGTAATGATACGTTCGATGCTACAATACAATTCCTCAGCGATCCGTCCATTTTTGAAAGGGAAGAGAATGAAGCTACATACGTCGGGTCGTTCGCATGATTCATGAACAAAGTGACCCTGTCCAAACTTCCATTCTCCTCGAAATCCTGCCTAAAGAACCTAGCAGTTTCCATGTTCACACCCATGGCTCCGAAAACGATGGAGAAGTTGTCCTCGTGCATGTCGTGAATTCCCTTGCCCGCCTTCTTGACCAATCCAGCTTGTCGACAGATTTGAGCCGCGACTTCGTTGTGCGGGAGACCTGCGGCTGAGAAGATGGGGATCTTTTGGCCGCGAGCAATCGCGTTCATGGTGTCGATGGTGGAGATTCCCGTTTGGATCATTTCTTCAGGATAAATCCTCGAATACGGGTTGATGGGGGATCCTGCACCATACCAATCACACAAATGTTCAACCCATGTTCCACATCCGCGAAGGCAAGCAAGTGAATGATCGCACCATTGATATCTAAATAGTCTTCCGCAAAGACTTTTGGTCCACGATCAATTGCGTTTCCCGACCCGTTAAAGATCCTTCCCAACATGTCCTCACTGACTGGCAGTCTCATGGAGCTGCCACTGAATTCCACCTTCGTGTCCTTCACATCAACTCCGCTAGTCCCCTCAAATACCTGTACCACCGCCTTCTTTCCAGTAACCTCCAGAATCTGGCCTTGACGAACGCTTCCATCGGGGAGGGTGAGAGTGACGATTTCGTTATAGGAGGGAAATTTGACGTTGTCCAACACTACCAAAGGACCATTGATAGACGAAACGGTCTTGTAGGTCAGTCGTGGGTGCACATCGTAGCGCCTTACTGCAGCAGCAGCGTTGATTCTAGCACCCAAGAAGCTGAAGTTGAGGGCTCAAGAGATGGCTGGGAACTCACGCTGCCGCTTCTCGATCAGTAACTCTGGGGTCGGGTGACATCCTATCGTCTGCTATAGTGTCAGGAAACAATGGCCCAGAATTGTAGAAGAGAATTACCTGAAGAAACGGATTTGCAGCTTGAAAGCACACTCAGGAGTTGAGGTGCACTGATGAGCTGCAGGGTTTGTCGGAAGGGCCAACTACCACACCGAACCAAGAAACCAGGCTTGAAGAAGAGAAGGTTGTGGTTGCCATAAAATCCTTATCAGAGATTTAGAAATCAATTATAACGCGTAGGATTTGGTCAGCGAGGTGCGTACAGACGCTGAGTTTTCTACAAACTTTGCTTTTTTTTGGGAGGACAGTTGCCTCCTTGAAATCATTGTCTGACCCGTTACTTTGAAAGGCCTTTCAGACTAGGAATTTTTGAATAAATGAGCTCTGGGACTTATTAAAGGGCTTCTCGATGTTATGCTTTGATTATCTCATCCACTAGTGCAGAAGGCAGGGTTTGTTGTGGTGATTGTGATCATAGGAAGCGCTGTAATAAAAGACAAATACGTGTATTCCATGTTAGGTTTAAATTTTACTTCAGCTCGTTCGTTGATACGCAGTAGATGATGTTTTGGCTTTGCAGTTTAGCACCCTTTCATGTTACTCAAAGGAGGTAGAATCCATGAACAACCAAGCCCTTACTGCAACTTCAGTGGAGTTTGTTTAAATTGTTCTGGAGCAGGTGAATATTCTACTATGTTTCATAATTGGGTCATTTTAAACAAAATAACACTTCTGAGCCTCTGGGATGGATTTCCAGGCATCAAAGCATTCTTTATACAAACATGTGGACGGCACTGACTCTCCTAACACAAAAGTAGCAGTAGCGGCATACACAACCATACACCATGGCCACACCAACCTCCACCGCTCAAAGTGAGAAAGAAAAAGTATGTCACCTTGTTTGCTCCTTGGCAAGTGCTTGACTGATATATGCAGGGCAAGGAAGCGTTCAAGAAAGGGGATTATCCTCTCTCTATTGGTCACTACACGCGTGCGATGCAACTAGACCCAAAAGAGGCAACGTATCCACTGAACCGTGCTATGGCATATCTTAAACTCAACAAGTGCTTGTTCCTTGCTTAGTGCTCTACGAATAACTGAGGTTAAGCTTGGTACAGGTTTCACGATGCATCAAGGGACTGTGATACATCATTAAAACTGAAAGATAATAACTCAAAGGCTCTCTTTCGTCGTGGGCTTGCGAAAAAGGGAATTGGCGAGGACTATCCTAGTGCCTTAAAAGGTACGTTCCCGCCTAACCTTGTTCATTTGGTGATGATATGGCTGAGGATGAGGAAAGTGTAGACCTTGAAGCGGCCCGGAAACTAGAGCCTAAGAACGCGACGATAATCGCTGAGATTGAGTCTGTGAGCACGCTCGTTTCAGCAAAGCGCCAAAAAGCAGCAGCCACTGCCACTACTTCTTCTCTTCGACCAACTCCACCAAACTCTCCTGCGGAATTACCGCCACCTGCATCGGCTGCTGCAAACGACACAACTTCTTCTCCTTCGACGTCTCGACTAAAAGCGGCAGTAGCCTTTGAGCCGGACAGTGATATAGGCTTGAAAGAGGCAACGACTCGACGCTTCGCTCCTGCTCCTGCGACCAAGGAGAAGGGGAAAGACCAAGAGGGAGGTGGTGGGAAGAAGAGTTTCGCAGCTGCGAAGGCGGAGAGGACGAAGAAGATGGAAGCGAGGGAGAAAAGTCATTTAATCCCTCTTACATCCTCGATCCCTGCATCGTCATCTGCTGCCATCTCTTCAGCTGAACCTACGATGGCGCCAAACCTGAACGGTTCAGGAACGGAGCGCAAACTCGTTCCCCTTTCTGCTTCTGAGTTCGATAGGAAGTGGAACGCTCTACGTGGATCGCCGACTTCCAAAGAGATTCCGCATCGATGGAATGTCCTCAGAAATCTTCCCCCTGCGAGCCTACCGAATATCTTTGGAGATTCGTTGGAGGCAGAAACAATAGGAGAACTTCTAGCAGCAGTAGAGTTCGGGTACGCTCTTCCTTCTGCTCTCAAGTTTGGGAATCGAAGTGAACCAGATGGATTCTTAGGTTGCAGCAAGATGATGCCGAAATTTACTACGTCCACATTAACGAAATTCTGAAGGAACTTCCGAAAACAAAGAGATTTAATTTCGTGCAGATGTTCCTGAGTGAGGGGGAGAAGTCCCGTACGTCTTCTGATCTCCCCTGCAACTGCGTTGCTGATAAGAGTTTGAAGGCTTGAACGCCGTTATGAATCGTGTTGGCTTGCAAGATTCCAATGTTCAGAGTGTATGGCTCAGCTGAGCCTTTCGATTCATGTTTAGTCACTCCAAGCCTCTCCATACACCGTGTTGTGGACTCGGTTTGCGATCCAAGAGGAGAGAATGTTGATATAGATAGTCGCGTTTCGTATTCTGGACTTCTCGCTCCCATGAGGTCTACACTGTTACAGCAGAGTAAAATGGAATGACAGGAGCCTAATAAAGATTGCTGCTCCCTCCAACGCACTCCCTCGTGGCCAACTGGCCAAGATTGAGGCAAAAAAAATGTAAAGGCTAAAAAGTATTGCCCACGGAGTGAATCGAACACTCGATCTTAGCTTGAACTCATAATATTACGAGAGCCACGCTTTACCACTGAGCCACGCGGGCGACCTTATCCGAGGCACTGTACTCTACCCTAAGACAATAAGAAGAGGACTTTATCACTGCTTCTTCGATCAGGCGAGTCAACTCTTTTCCTCTTCGTGGTTGCTTGCAATACTCCCAAGAGTCGCACATATTCCAATGAGTAATCCCAGCGATCCTTCACCCCAAAGCGACGCGGACAAGGTGCGCCATTCTCTCCTCGTTTCGCGTCTTTGCGCTTCGGAGCTGACGAGTCGTTGATCGTCCAGATCCGCCTCAAGCGACTTGCGAAACTCCAATCTGCAGCCAGTACCCCTGCTCAGTGGGTATCTCCTACCCCTTCTCCTGCTCCTGGACCGGCCTCTACTTCTACCTCATCTGCTCGCGTTGGACTTGGTGCTGGTGGTGGCAATGGCGTACCACCGAAGACTAAAGCTCCTCCAGCTCCTTCGGAAGAGGCGAAACTGGTGCGCTTTTTCCTTAAACTGTGAAGGGTGGTGTTGTAATGAGCTGTATATGAATAGAGGAAGCCTACTGCTCCTGTATCGACTCCATCCACCACTTCTTCAACCGCTGCTTCTGCGTCAGCAAGACCTGCACCATCGGCCACGAGCACGGGTCCCACAAAGTTTCCACTCAGCTTGCAGAAGTGGCAAGACACTTTGATCCAGCATGTGTTCCAGATTACGTTCGATGTATGTCCTTCATCTCCCTTGAGGACTGCCATTCAAAGTGCCGTTGGTGTCGCTGTTGCTTCGCTGCAGCGCGAAAAGGCTGAGAAGAGCAACTGGGAGATTGTGTGGATGAAAGAGCTGGGAGAGGAGCTGACAGAGGAGAACGTCGGTGCGTCCATTTCCCTTCTCCCCTTCTTCCTTTCTTCCCTAACAAGTGAATACAGGTAATCCATCTTTCTTGCTCAACATTGACTCAGCCGAGTATGTAGCCCATCTGTCTATAAATGGGAATAGCTGATTGTTGCAACAGTCGAATACTCTTTTCCCGCCTCTCTTTATCCCCGGATAGTATGACAGACGATCCGGAAGTGCTCCAAGTCCTTGCTTCCCTCCCAATCAACGAAGGCAAGACAGTGCTTGATTACTTGGTTGGATGTTGGATGCGCGTCCGCGAAGGGCAGAAGGACCATGCTCGCTATCGGGTATGTCATATCCATGCTACAAAGCACATTTATAGGTATCTGATTTATCTTTCCGACTTCGGATGACAGAACGCAGACCCCACAGAGTTTCAGGAGAGGAGTAAGATTTTGGACGAACTCAAAGGGATGGTGCTCTCCTATGCAGCACTGAGCATGACAGAACCCGAGATGCTCCCACAACCAAGCGGGTATGTCCTGCGATCCTCATCTTCCCAAAATCCCTGACCATTGAAGTAGAAAGGTGGTTGGCATCCTCGAGTTCCTTCCCCTCCTGCTCGCCGAACCGTCATCATCCGCTTTGACCAAAGACAGCTTGAACCCCTTCCTTTCCGACTTCACGGCATACCTTACCTCCAAAGAACGAGCGGAAGAGATATCACCGATCATCTCGCCATTGGTGAGAGAGCTGAACACTCGGTTGGCGAGTGGACAGAATGGAGATCTTACCGGACTCGAATGGAGGCGGTTCATCGAGGCGATGGTGCTCCTCAGTGAGATCAAAGGTGTAGCTGCAGCTGTACGTATTCCTTTCCTGTGGGAGGCAGAGAATGATGCGTTTCTCAACGATTACAGATAGCAGAACTGCTCGAGGAGGGACTGAAACAGATCCCAGCTGGTCGTCCACAACTTCTGGAGGTCTGTCCACCTCTCGGACTCTTTTTTGGCCTCTCCACGTTCCCGGATAAAAAGGTACCCTCCCTTCTTGTTGTGGTCTGCCATGGCACTCGCTGACAGTATTTTGGTGCCTGATGTAGCCGCAAAACGCATCCACCTTCTTTCCTCAGCCGTCGAATATGAACCCTGGTGATATACATTCGGCTTTCGCTGGGCTGAGGGGCACGAGTACTAGTGTGCAGGTTCGTTTGTTCTATTCTATTTCCTTCCTTTTGAGCTTGCGCCGAGCTGATGAGCTCTTTAAAATGCACAGAATAGTTTGTTCACTATCACAAACAACATAGTACGGAGTGGACCGAAAGCGAGAGAACATGTGATAAATTATTGGTGTGCGGTCTTGAGGCTGAATGAAAAACGAGCTGGTGCTTATGTGCGTTCTTTTCTTCCTTCTTCAAACGAGATGAGTGCGTAGCTGATGAGAATCGGGATGATAGGTGGATCCGAGGACGGTCTCAAGCGACGGGTTCATGGTTAATATCCTGGCCGTGTTGTTAGGGTTTGCTGGACCTATCATTGATCCGCAATATTCAAAGGCTCGCTTGGACTCTCTCTAACGATCCGTGCGACGACTGAAAGTTCTGCATAGGTGGACAAGATCGATCCGCTCTATTTCAAGGGAGGGAAGAGGTTGAATCTCGATGAAGAGACCAAGATAAATGCGACGAGTGAGGAGGCAAAGGAGTACTACGCCGTCACGGATCCTTCATCAAGTTCGTCCTCCTCTTTACACCTGGAAATATTGCTGACGGAAGTTGTTTACACAGTCCCATCACCCAATTTCATCTCTGATGTTTTCTTCCTCACTTGCTCCTTCATGCATCTCGGGCTCATGAAGACGATCGGCACTTTCAAGCGATATTCAAGGCGGCGTTCTGACCTCGCTCGAGAGTACGATCGAGCACAGAGGGAGGAATCCAGTTGGAGAGGGACACCTCAAGAACCTGTGATGCGCGTTAGTTTGGAAAGGTTAAAGAGCCAAAAGGATCAGTTAGAGAGCTTTCTGATGGCGATGGAGGCCCAACTTCTTCATCCTGAATTTTTGGCAAAGACAATCGGGTTCTTGAATCTCGCAATGACTTGGTTGGTCAGGCTGGTGGACCCGAAGGGGAAGCACCCAAATCCTCAAATCACGTAAACCTTTAGACCTTTGTAAACTGATCGCATTGGTTGATGAGAAGGTTATAGGTTGCCATTGCCAGTGGACGCGCCAGCAAAGTTTAGGATGCTCCCCGAATACATTCTGGAGGATATAGCAGAGTTCTTCCCTTTCGTTTCTAATCATGCCCCTCAAGTGTTGGCGAACCAAACGAAGGATGAGCTGCTTACTTTCATCCTTGTCTTTCTGGCGAGCGGACCTGAATACATCAAGAATCCGTATCTTCGAGGACAGCTCGTTGAAGTAGGATAGTCCATCTTGCGAGAGTTCCATTTAAAGAGTGTTTTCAGGTCATTTATCTCACATGTCAACCGATTCCTGGTTATCGACGTGGAACCTTCGGAGACGCGATTAACTATAATCCCATGGCACTGAAATACCTTTCCTCGGGTCTCATAACCATCTATATTGATATCGAAACCACCGGTTCGCACAGTCAGTTCTATGACAAGTTCAATACCCGTTTCCAGCAAGTCTTATAGCTTCTTCTTTGACTGATCTACCACTGATTCATTTCCAACAGCATTTCACAAATTTTCAGATTCCTTTGGGATAATCCCACCCATCGAGAGGCTCTTAGGGAGGAGACCAAGTGGGACTGCTTCTCATCCAGGTGACTTTGCTGAAATATGACCAGGAATCTCGAGCACTTTGTACGCTTTGTGAATCTCATGATGAACGACACAACGTACGTCTTGGACGAGTCGCTATCGCATCTGGCGAAGATTTACGAATTTGAGAAGCGAAAAGCACGTACCGCGGAGTGGGAAGCGCTGACAAACGAGGAGCGAGAGGATGCAGAACGAGGGTTTGGTGAATCCGAAAGTCGCGCCAAAGGCTATCTGGATTTGTGCAATGAGAACCTTCACACGCTGAAGGCCTTCACAGCTGAGACGAAGGCACCGTTCCTTACTCCGGAGATTGTAGACCGGCTTGCTGCCATGCTGGATTTCAACCTCGACGTCCTCGCTGGACCTAAATGTCAGACTCTCTCTGTCTCGGACAAGGAGCGGTATCGTTTCCGTCCAAAGCAGCTGCTTGACGATATTCTTTCCGTCTACGTCAATCTCGCCAAGGCCCCGGAGTTTGTTCAGGCAATTTCGAGAGATGGAAGAAGTTATTCGAAAGGTCTGTTTGAGAGAGCAGAGGAGATATGCCGAAAAAAAGCGATCAAGAGTGAAGAAGATTTGCAAATCCTGCGAAAATTGGTGTCACAGGTGGAGGACATCCGAGCACAAGAAGCGGCGGATGAGGAGATGGGAGATTATCCTGACGAGTTCCTCGGTATGTCTCCCACCACCACCGCCGTGTTGCCCACTGACGAAGATACAGATCCCCTCACCTACGTGGTTATGCGTGATCCAGTCACTCTGCCTGGCTCGAAAGCAGTGGTCGATCGCAGCACAATCAAGCAACATCTGCTCAGCGATCCAACGGATCCGTTTAACCGACAACCACTCAAGATCGAACAAGTCATTCCAAGTACGTTTCAGCAGCTCCCAAACATTTCGGTACTGATGAATCGACAGACGCTGAATTACTAGAGAAAATCAACACTTTTTTGGCAGAAAGAAAACAAAAATTGTAATTTAACATGTCACATCTTGTATCGCATCCATCCATCCAGCTCTTGCATCCCTCCCAGCCATCCAAACTCAGATTATGAGATCTGTACGAATCTAGCCTTCTCTCCTCCTCCTGATGCTCGCTGCATGATGTGCTCCAACAGAGTTCTCTGTTCGGTGCTAAGGTCTGTCGTCGCTTTTTGGGACAGATCTGGTCTGGAAGCTTCCAAACCTAAGGAGAGGCCTGAGTTTAAACACGTAGCGAACCGAAGCACGCACCCCTCATCACTTGAACAAAGATAACGTAAGAATCCAGGTTATCTAATGGTGTCTCAAAAAGTACTTCTTCAGTCCATGCTTCTGATGTGTCATCCTCTTCAGCCTGCCGTTCCTTAGCCATCTAGATTGATGTCAAAGATGTCTTGAGCGGGAAAATCGGAGCCCATACCTGCCGTCGAACGATTTCTGTCAA